ACATAGAATATTCAGTAAATGACTTTTAAATAAATAAACAAATAATTCGGTAAATCTATTTCAAGTAAATGGAAAATAAGCAAACAAATGTTATTTACCACCACCCCTTCCCTCTGGCTCAGGGTGAGATGGAGGGGAGATAAAGAAGGCTATTTATAGCCCGTCTTTGTGTCTGAAGTGGCCAGTACGCTAATGCACCATAAATAATTCATTTAACATTTATTTTTTGTACATATATTTTGTTATATACATACATACATATACATATATATATACATATACATATACATATATATATACATATACATATACATATATATATATATATATATATATATATATATATATATATATATATATATATATATATATATATATATATATATATATATATATATATATATATATATATATATATATATATATATATATATACATATATATATATATGTATGTATGTATGTATGTATGTATGTATGTATGTATGTATGTATGTATGTATGTATGTATGTATGTAATAATAATAATTAACGGTTTATTGAAAAAGTTCTGCAGCCCGAAGGCTGAAAATATACATTGGACATAAATGACTTATTACATACATTGGTGGTTTAACAAAAGCCTTCATTAGAGATAGGTGTAGTGGACGTCTCCCCTACAACTTCCTACAACTGCGTAGCCACAGCCACCACCTGCTACCGCCTTCCCTAGCAACCAACCAGATGTTACCGTATCTTAGCAACGGAACTAGTGACCGGCGACTTCTCGGGTTTTCCCAACATGACTCATAGCGGCTGCTGCTGGGTATATAAGCTCTGTCTCTCCATTGAGATTCATTCTGACCATTCTTCTTGAACAAGTAACACCTCCTCCTCCGCCACTGCCTGGCTCCCTTCGCTTCTCCTCGCCTGCCTGGCGGTCCACGCTCCCGCCAGCGAGCATGGCGACCCACCAGCTGTCCTTCTCTGAGCTTCCTCACCAACCAACTCTCATTCTGCCCATCTTCCTGAACAAGCAACACCTCCTCCAGCAAGCTCCACGCTGTTAGCATTCATTCAATCAGGAGGCCAGCAACAGGCAACATCTTCTCTAACGAAGCTCCTGCACATCTACCTCCTTCAACACGCTACTCACCGAACGTCTTCTACTGAGCAGCTCCCCACCACACGGCACCTCCAGCACCAGACTGTCTATCATATAACTTATATATTATACAAGAAAACCACATTAGAGTTTCCTTCCATCCTGAGTGCTAGACAACATTAATATCTTGATACCCCTACAAAGGTAAAGGAACATACAGTGAACATTCAGATTAATGTAGGTGTTGAACAGCAAACACGTAATGTAGTAACTCTCTCCCAGATGGGGTTAGGAGGGACCTGATGTGGTGTAGTAATTCCCTCACAGATGGTGTTATGAGGGGCCTCACATGTAGTAATTCCCTCACAGATGGTGTTATGATTGGCCTCACGTGGTGTAGTAGTTCCCTCATAGATGGTGTTACGAGGGACTTGACGTGGTGTAGTAACTCCCTCACAGATGGTGTTACGAGGGGCCTCACGTGGTGTAGTAACTCCCTCACAGATGGTGTTATGAGGGGCATCACATGGTGTACGAATTCCCTCACAGATGGTGTTATGAGGGACCTGACGTGGTGTAGTAATTCCCTCACAGATGGTGTTATGAGGGGCCTGACGTGGTGTAGTAATTCCCTCACAGATGGTGTTATGAGGGGCATGACGTGGTGTAGTAATTCCCTCACAGATGGTGTTATGAGGGACCTGACGTGGTGTAGTAATTCCCTCACAGATGGTGTTATGAGGGGCATCACGTGGTGTAGTAATTCCCTCACAGATGGTGTTATGAGGGACCTCATGTGGTGTAGTAATTCCCTCACAGATGGTGTTATGAGGGACTTGACGCGGTGTAGTAACTCCCTCACAGATGGTATTATGAGGGGCATCACGTGGTGTAGTAATTCCCTCACAGATGGTGTTATGAGGGACTTGACGTGGTGTAGTAATTCCCTCACAGATGGTGTTATATGAGTGAGGTGTGGCCCAAGGCCTTCCTATCGTAGATGGATTAACACATCGCCGGTTGTTGGATCTCACGGACCGTTATCACTGGGTACCTGGGACCTCACTGTGTGAAGGTTAACTTGAATACGACTTTTACTGTTGAGTTGTTCTCACTGACTCAAGCACTGTTCACCAATGTTCACCTCTGTTTAACACTGGTTCCATTCCTTTCCCAAATGAAATTGTAACTTCTGGCGAGAACCTGTTGATACTCCGGTGGGGAGAAGTGGTTCAGGGGAGGGGGTTGGTATGGGCCAACTTAACAGTTGACCTGGCTGCTCCGAGAGGAGCGCCAGGTACGTCTTGACCCTTCGGTGGTCAAGGATGTAGTGTGTGTGTGTTTGTGTGTGTTTTGAGGTCAGTCCTTGGAAAATGTCGTCATTAATTATCCAATATCAGGATCTATCGTGGACTTGACGTGCTTCACTAGTTACCACTGATAGTTTACAAACACAAAAGTTGAGTAATATGTTTTTACACAGTTACACACGATAAAGAAGGAATTGCATTAGAAAAAAAAACAAAAAGAAAAAAAAAATATAATATATATATATATATATATATATATATATATATATATATATATATATATATAATATATATATACAGTTGTACCCCACTTAACGCGGTCAATAGAACCCAGAGGGTCCCGTGTTAAGTGAAATCCGCGTTAAGTGAACAACAGAACATATGGGATTAATTCCAATAGAAACCAGCCCGACCCCCAAACTCCACTTTTTGAAGACACATAACTATGTTGTAGTAAAAATAACATCTTAATTTTATGATGGTACATGCACACAATTAATACTTAAGAGAAATAGAGAAATACAGTCGCCAAGTTAATGTCCATTCAAATAATGGACTCAACTCCCTCCCCCTCTTCTCACACTACACTCACTGGCTCTTCCCTCTGAGAAATTTTTGGGGGAAAACCAGGTATAGTAATAAATAATTCCTCAAACTAAAGTTAGGATAATATAATTGACATTGCTGGATTCCTTGTAAGACCAGGAATATTTTGAATACAAATGTCATATATTTTTCACAAAAGATAACATATTTACTCAGAATAAACTTTACATCTAAAATTTGTATGTCTAATGCAAAATCTATGATGTTTATATTCAAAATGATCACCAAATTGTAAGAATTCCAGCAATGTAAATTATATTCTGGCCGGATAATTTGTATGAATTTTATGAGCTAAAACAAATATCTTCAATTAATAAAAAAAAAAAAATATTCTTCACGACACTATCTGTCAATCAAAGTACCCCACCTTGCCTTCCCCCCCTCTTCCAACCGCGTGGTCAGTCCCAACCCTCCCCCCAACCCCCCACCAATCCTCCCTTCAAGAGTTTTTAACATTTAGTATTAAATAATACCTCAGATTAAAGTTAGGATAATATAATTGACATTGCTGGATTCCTTGTAAGACCAGGAATATTTTGAATATAAATGTCATATATTTTTCACAAAAGATAACATATTTACTCAGAATAAACTTTACATCTAAAATTTGTATGTCTAATGCAAAATCTATGATGTTTATATTCAAAATGATCACCAAATTATAAGAATTCCAGCAATGTAAATTATATTCTGACCGGGTAATTTGTATGAATTTTATGAGCTAAAACAAATATCTTCAGTTAATAAAAAAAAAAAATATTCTTCACTGTAACAGATGGTCGGTCGGTCCCTCCCTCCCCCCCACCCCCCACCAACCGTCTCACCAGATGTGTGGGAAAACCAGAATATTTACCTTTTAGTAATAAATAATACCTCAAACTAAAGTTAGGATAATATAATTGACATTGCTGGATTCCTTGTAAGACCAGGAATATTTTGAATATAAATGTCATATATTTTTCACAAAAGATAACATATTTACTCAGAATAAACTTTACATCTAAAATTTGTATGTCTAATGCAAAATCTATGATGTTTATATTCAAAATGATCACCAAATTATAAGAATTCCAGCAATATAAATTATATTCTGGCTGGGTAATTTGTATGAATTTTATGAGCTAAATCAGGCAGTCAGGCAGGGTGGCGGGTGGGGCGAATCTAAAAATAGCTCTCGAGCCGGACACTCACCGCTTATATGTGGAAAAAACCCGCGTTAAGTGAAAGTTCAGCTCTGGCGAGGCACCGCGTATATGGTAAAACGCGCTAAGTGAAACCGCGTTAGGCGGGGTAATACTGTGTGTATATATGTATATATATATATATATATATCATGTAAATCCACAATGAAAACGTGGATAAGATAAATCTTGATAAAATCACTCCGTTGTTTCCATTTTCCCGTGTGATTTTATCAAGATATATATATATATATATATATATATTTCAAGTAAATGGAAAAATTTTACTCGACACAGACATTAGTTCCAGTTACCGGTAAATAGCAGACGCTTCAGTGACGTCACTAGTGTTTACACTACACCAGCGGGTAACATTTGATGACATTACTTGAAGTGAATTGGCCATATTTTAAAAAAACCAAGGATGGTTGGTAAAGGACTACTGAGTCAGTGGGTAAGTGCCACATTTGGGGTACTGGTCTTATACAGCGAATAGAGCTCAAAAGCTACTTTTTAAATGGAAATTTGGGGGGGGCCGTCTTATGTACCCCGACGCCTTATACGCCGAGATATACGGTATGTCATAAAAAAAAAGTAAAGACTGTATAATTATCAAAATATGATTCATCTTGAAATATTACCAGAAGATAAGCAACTGGAGTACTAGAGTACAAAGAAAGCATGATAAAAGCTGAAATATCTTACCGAAAATAAACTCATATTAATAACTCAAAGTATATCAGCAAATGGAAACACTAGTGTTATTGAAAATTTTAGTATAATAATACGCATGACAAGGATCTAACACAGGAACACTTACCCTGACTAGTTCCATGACGAGGTAGAGCTGATGTGAGGTGTGGAATTCCTCAATTAAACTAACAATATTTGGATGACTAACCTGGGGAAGAAATAAGAATACATTAATTTTACTGAACTCAATATCTTACAAACAGGGTACAGTACTGATCCCAACATCCCAATTCATAACCTTGAACAGACCAGGAAATTCTAGTCACCATTCACAGTCAACAGAGACAGTAAAATGTCTGATGCTAAATCAACAAATAAACTCAACTAAGTAAAGCAGAAAATTAACCCCTAAATTAGGTGATTTTTCTCTACCATAACCATGAGATCATAAAAAGAGTAACAATTGGAAACATGGTTTACTCAAAGGTTTATGGTGTGGAGCTTGGGAGTCATTCTCACTGTCCAAGCAGGAGTGCTCTGTGATCATAACATGTTCATCCAATATCCAGTGACCCAGGATTACTTCCCTTCAGTATCCAACCAAACTCAAGCATCCCCAAAGGAGGAGGAAAGGATTATGAATTACGTGATCTGTGCTCAGCTATTTAAAAGGAAGTACAGGATCAATCCCCTATACAGTATAGTATATGTGTGTGTGTGTGTGTGTGTGTGTGTGTGTGTGTGTGTGTGTGTGTGTGTGTGTGTGTGTGTGTGTGTGTGTGTGTGCAGTATCATGTTTAATAGGGATATTGCCAAATAAGAATACAGTCTCTCCTCGACTTACGACGGGGTTCCTTCCCGACGACCAGGTCGTAAGTCGAGTTGGTCCTAAGACAAAAGGCGAAAATAATACACAGAAATTCTAAAATGTTTGTCTCTTTTTCTTCTCAGCACCACGAGAACTCTCACTTTTAAGCATGCCAGCCATTTTAAAGAGAATTACAAACGAAAATTTTGTCAGTACACAGCGCGATCACTAACGTTGGGACTCTAAAGTACGTAATGTGAAAAATATTTTATACGACCATGGCCGTCGTATGTCCGGGTTGTCGTAACTTGAATACAGTGATCCCTCGGTTAACGAGGGCCTCGGTAAACGAAATTTCGGTTAACGAATTACCTTCCATCAGATTCTTCATTTAGGTTAACGAGCAAACCCTCGGTTAACGAATTCCTTACGAGCGCCCCTCAACATGTTTTCGCTTGCTCACTAGCTGTCGTATTAGTCCGCCAATACAGTAATCGGTTCTAGGGCTTAAATTCCTTACTATTTAGTAAATATCAAGAAGGTTGTACTAGTCAATCATTTTAAAAGTTTTATATTAATTTTTTTAGTCATTTTAACAACTATTGAACATAATTGAAGTACAGGAAACTAGTTTTATGCGTGCCAAACTGCACTCAACACACAAAGCTTGGCGTCAGTTTGTTTACAGGTTCAGAGGAAGGAACATCTTGTTTGAGACTCTTCAACATAAAAGCTTTATTTTTCTGTGTTCCCAGTCAAATTATTGGTCATTTTGAAATATATTTTACATATTGATTATATATAGCGCAGTGCAGTGTTGATTTAAAGAAAATAATCTTGAATTACACCAACTGAACTAAAATTTTATGGGTGAAATGGCAGCATGAAGCACGGGGTGACTTCTCTTCCACCCCAATGCCTTCTCTTCTCCCTTCTCCTCCACCCCCATTCTAATTCCCATCATCATCATCATCATCATCAACCAGGAGCCTTCTACATGCACACCTCAAAGTAAGTGTACTTTACTACATGTATTTTCCATTTGTATGAAATTTTCGGTGAGCTGGAACCAATTACCCACAAACCCATTGAAACAATGGTTTCGGTTAACGAATTTTACGGTTAACGAGCAACCTTCTGGAACAAATTGTGCTCGTTGACCGAGGGACCACTGTACTTCAATTATGTTCAATAATTGTTAAAATGACTAAAAAATTTAATAGTATAAACTTCGTGATATTTACTAAAATAGTAAGGAATTTAAGCCTTAGAACCGATTACTGTATTGGCGGACTAATACTACAGCTGGTGGACCGCCAAATGCAAGCGAAAACATGTGGAGGGTTGCTCATTAAAAACTCGTTAATCAAGGGATTGCTCATTAACCAAAGTTAAGAATCTTATGGAAGGTAAATCGTTAACCAAAATCTCGTTAACCGAGGGATCACTGTATGTATGTATGTATGTATGTATGTATGTATATATATATATATATATATACACCTAGACCCCGACTTACGACTACGTGGACTTACGACCGTCGGGACTTACGACCGCCTCAGATATAGATTTAAAAAAAAAAAAAAAAAATTTTTTAAATGACACACGCATTTTCTATACCGAAACGTTTCCAGTTAATGCAGTCTCCATGTATAATTAGAAAATTATGGGGGCCCCATGTGCATTCAGCTGACTACTGTACATTAAAGGTTAAGTGCTCAGTCACACTGTATCCATTCCTTATTATTTATTACTTTCACTGTACTGTATCCATTCATCATTATTCATTACTTTTACTGTACTGTATTTCATTGTAGATTTTTTATTAAATTTTTTTTTTTTTTATCTATGTCGGACTTACAACCATGTCGGACTTACGACCTGGATTTGGGTCCCTAACCCCGTCGTAAGTCGGGGTCTAGGTGTACATACATACATACATACATACATATATATATATATTTATATATATATATATATATATATATATATATATATATATATATATATATATATATATATATATATATATATATATATATATATATATATATATATATATATATATATATATATATATATATATATATATATATATATATATATATATATATATATATATACAGTTGTACCCCACTTAACGCGGTCAATAGAACCCAGAGGGTCCCGTGTTAAGTGAAATCTGCGTTAAGTGAACAACAGAACATATGGGATTAATTCCAATAGAAACCGGCCCGACCCCCAAACTCCACTTTTTGAAGACACATAACTATGTTGTAGTAAAAATAACATCTTAATTTTATGATGGTACATGCACACAATTAATATTTAAGAGAAATAGAGAAATACAGTCGCCAAGTTAATGTCCATTCAAATAATGGACTCGACTCCCTCCCCCTCTCACACTACACTGCCGGCTCTTCCCTCTCTGAGAAATTTTTGGGGGAAAACCACTAAATTTTAATAAATAATACCTCAAACTAAAGTTAGGATAATACAATTGACATTGCTGGATTCCTTGTAAGACCAGGAATATTTTGAATATAAATGTCATATGTTTTGCACAAAAGATAACATAGTTACTCAGAAAATTTTTTTATCTAAAATTTGTATGTCTAATGCAAAATATATGATGTTTATATTCAAAATGATCACCAAATTATAAGAATTCCAGCAATGTAAATTATATTCTGGCCGGGTAATTTGTATGAATTTTATGAGCTTAACAAATATCTTCAGTTAATAAAAACAAAAATAATCTTCACGACACTATCTGTCAATCAAAGTACCCCACCTTGCCTCCCCCCCTCTTCCAACCGAGCGGTCAGTCCCAACCCTCCCCCCCCACCCCCCACCAAGAGAAAGACTGGGTGAAAATAATAAATTTTAACATTTTGTATTAAATAATACCTCAGATTAAAGTTAGGATAATATAATTGACATTGCTGGATTCCTTGTAAGACCAGGAATATTTTGAATACAAATGTCATATATTTTGCACAAAAGATAACATAGTTACTCAGAAAATTTTTTTATCTAAAATTTGTATGTCTAATGCAAAATAGATGATGTTTATATTCAAAATGATCATCAAATTATAAGAATTCCAGCAATGTAAATTATATTCTGACCGGGTAATTTGTATGAATTTTATGAGCTAAAACAAATATCTTCAGTTAATAAAAAAAAAAAATATTCTTCACTGGGTAACAGATGGTCGGTCGGTCCCTCCCTCCCTCCGCCCCACCCCCCACCAACCGTCCCAAGGAGATGTGTGGGAAAACCAGAATACTTAACTTTTTTGGAATAAATAATACCTCAAACTAAAGTTAGGATAATATAATTGATATTGCTGGATTCCTTGTAAGACCAGGAATATTTTGAATATAAATGTCATATATTTTGCACAAAAGATAACATATTTACTCAAGAGTAAACATTTTATCTAAAATTTGTATGTCTAATGCAAAATATATGATGTTTATATTCAAAATGATCACCAAATTATAAGAATTCCAGCAATGTAAATTATATTCTGGCCGGGTAATTTGTATGAATTTTCTGAGCTAAAACAGGCAGTCAGGCAGGGTGGCGGGTGGGGCAAATCTAAAAATAGCGTCTCGAGCCGGACACTCACCGCGTATATGATGAAAAAATCCGTGTTAAGTGAAAGTCTGGTTTCGGCGAGGCACCGCGATGATAAAAACGCGCTTAAGTGAAAAACCAAGTAGCGGGTATTACTATATATATATATATATATATATATATATATATATATATATATATATATATATATATATATATATATATATATATATATATATATATATATATATATATATAATATATATATATATATATATATATATATATATATATATATATATATATACACACTTCATTTTTAGTCCATATAACACTTATGTCCTTTAGGGTTGATTGTAGAGTTCCCTTGTCCCACTCAGCTGGTCGAGGTCTCGATTCCTGGCAGAGGTCATGGATATATTTATTTATATATATATATATATATATATATATATATATATATATATATATATATATATATATATATATATATATATATATATATATATATATATATATATATATATATTTCATAAGCCCAATAAAGCACGCGGACTTCTACATACAATCAACACCTCAACCCGCCAGGATTCGAACCCACGGCCCACAAGCCTATGACTGTGACTGGGGAACGCTAACCACTGGACCACCAGGATACTAAAAGCAGTCCTAGACTTTGTTATATTTCACACAAAGCCTGTTCAACGAGCTTATGGCTTTGTGCGCGTGCTTTATTGGGCTAATGAAATATATATGGATCCTCGTGTTTCGAAGCCGGATTTGGTAAAACGTTATTCTGACCACCTACGTGATAC